CTTCTGAAATGGTACTGTGTATGCTTACTCGGCAGAGTTTGGGGCCGTGGTCAGTGGCGGAAAGGTTGGAATTGTTGATTCTATCAAAGTTGGCATTGTCTCCAATTCTGTTTTTCTGCATTTCAGTGCATTTTTATCAAGGATAATGTCAACAATATGAGCCCCTTTCTGTCAGAACATAAGAAGCACATAAGAGTCATCCCTGGTCTGCATTCAGCCATGAAACCATACATGAGCTACATGCATGATCACCGGCTTTCACATTTTGTCTGTCTTGCCTAATTTTCATTCTTTTACAAGAACACGGTGCATCACAGTCAAATGTCATTACAGTTAGAATATGTCAGTGTTTGAATATAAGAGAACAGCAAATTGTATTTATTTAGGTGAAAATTGTTTCATTTGTGACTGATTCAATAAAGATCTTAAGGACACTAACCATTTGGTTCAGTAAAAAGGAATAAGTTTTCAATAAGAAATTGAAAAAAGTGAAAAATTCTTAATATCAGAGAGAATAAGATGATTTTTGACTTTGCCAGCTTTTCACGGTTTCTACTTCATGGCAATTTTTTGTGGCTGTAGTTTGCCGAGGTTGAATTATACGAATGTTTCTGCAACCGTTTATATAAACAATCAGTTTTACAGCCTTTCTTATATAGGACTTACTGTTTTTGTGGGACACTTAGTTTCAGAAAGTTAAATAAACTATCTGTTTGGCCTGGCACTGCGTTCTTCATCATCACAGCTCCAGGCGAGTGTGCTGAAAGATTGTTGGAACAATCAGCATCTAAAAATACAGGGTTGATGGCTTTATTCAATTTTGTGTCAAAGGTTTTTCTTTTTGTTGTTTTTTTATTTTATTTTATTATGTTTTTACATCACAGATGAGTTGCCTGTGGGAAATGACCATATTTGTCAGACAAATGTCACCTCTCATTCATTCATTTATACGTTCATTCATTCAGCCAGTCACTTGACAAGCCAGCCTGCCGTGCAGAGACAGATAGCATGGCAACTTCCTCACTGACAAAACTCATACTACATTAGTCTTCTTGCCTAGCTCTTGTCTCCTCTTGTTTCTTATATCAGTCTTCCTGTGTTTACATGATCTTTCAGTACAGGACAGAAACCATAACTCAGCCCCTTCCAAGATGCAGACTCTCCTCTGATGATTCATCGTTGGTATTGCATTGCCAAAAGCAATCCTCAAACCTACTGGTAAATGTTTTTAATACTTAACAAAACACTTGTAAATTATT